AGAGTCCTGCATCCACGTGCAGTATTATAAGTTTTGCTTAAGTAGAGCAGAAAAAGACTGCCAGGTATGAAATAAGGGAGCCAGCCACCGACATATACAATCAATAGCCCCCAAATTCTGGTCACTTCTCTCACACCAACCATGTCAGCTACATTCCTACCAAGAAAGGGAAGGGCACTTAATGCACCAAATGACTGAAGGAAATACAAGTATGCAATGCTTACAGCCTAACTGTTGTTAACACTGAAATCCTTCTGTTTTGTGGTCCTTTACACACATATCATGTATAGTGCTTGGCACAAAATTCATAATAACAAATAAAAGATCTTTATAAAAATTTTTTTAAAAATATTTTTTCAAAATCTTAAAACAACAGGTGGGATATGTTACATGAATTTCAAACTCCTGCCGATTAGAATTTTTAAAATATGCTGCTTTCCAAGAGGTAACTAAATACCAAAGGGGCAAAAGACAAGGCCAAAGACAAATATGTGAATCGGAAAACCATTCAGGGAAGTACATGTGGTAGTCACCTTGTCAAAATATGAAGTTGGTCTTTATACTATCCAAAAATGGTGCTGCTCAAAGTTGCCTGGGAGATGTGGGGGTTTTCTTTGTAATGGAGAAAGATAAGGAGGCCCATGAATGAAAAGCCTCCTAGAATAAGGCAGCATTCCACGCTGGCCTCCTGACTCCCAACACCTAACCCCAGTTTGGGGGCCTTTCATCCTCACTGTCTTTTCTACATGTTGTCCCCAAATCTAGACTGCAGGTTATCTGCACTGCACATTTCCGGAAAAAAAAAAAAAAGGAAAAATTCTACTAAGTCACTTGGGAAAAGTCTACTAAGTCACTTGGGATAAATCTTTTGATAACAGGAAACTCCCTCAAACTTCACAAGGGATTTAAAGACATCTAGTTCTATTTACTGAGTTTTAAACATTCACCAGGCTCCAGGAAACACAGTTCCCAGATTTAGGCATTAATTGTAATTCTGTGCAGTTCAGTGATCAGATACAAAAACATGTCATCATTTAAAGGCAGAGAACCTAACCAGCTTTTCTAAATCACTATATCGGTAACTTCAGAGGGCACCGGCACTGAGATAGGTGTGCTAGGGCACTGGCTCTCAAACCTGACTCACACTGGAATCCCATGGGAAGCTTAAAAACACTGGACCACCTCAACTCACCCTAGAGAGTCTGACTGCATGAGGAATATGGCCTGGACATCATTATTTTAATACTGATGGTAAGTCTAATGCATGACAAACTTTGAGAACCAATGTAGGAAACAAATATAAACATAAAAAGTAGAGATAATTCTAATGCCCATCAACTGATGATGGGTAAATAAAATACAGCTTATCCATATAGTGGAATACTTTTCAGCAATTAATAAGATTTTTAAAAGTCATTAAAGTGAACTGCCCTAGTAATAAGGGAAATAAAAGACATGACAAAATGATCTGATGTCCTTTTCCTACCCAATCATTTTTCTTTTTCAGAGGCTAGATCTGTCAGTGTTGTGCTGATACTATAGGACCCAAAGTCGAGATCTCTACGCTTTTGAAAAGGAATGACTACTCAGTATTGCCAAGGAATTTCTAAGTTTTCAGAACGCAGGCTGTTGATGATGGATTGTAATGACACTTGAGCGTCAACAGGGTCTGATAGATGGACTTGGTGCTCTCAGTCCTACCTAGGTCCTGGCCTTGCCTTCACCACGACCACAGTCCAGGGCAAATAAATGTACAAGCTAACATACATAAAAAGACTTTCAAATAGGAGGCTTTCAATACACAAGCGTTATTTGGGAATATAAATATTATATATTTGATATATATATTTTTGCTTTCATTTCCAGAAAATCAATTGAAGAAGTCTTGGTCTATACCAGTGGTGGTGAACCTATGGCACTCATGTTATTATGTTTCTCTTTAAGACAAGTGCTCAGGTTTAATTGCAATATTGGCACTTTGCAAATAAGTAAGTGGTTCTGGGTTGCAGTTTGGGCACTTGATCTCTTAAAGGTTTACCATCACTGCTCTATATCTGAAAGCCCTTTTAATAAGTATTGGTACTTATTTAAAAGCAAAAGGCAATGAAATTTCAGTCACCTCTAAAAACCAGACTATCGAAATATTAACTGTATTCTCCATTTTACAATGAACTTAAACTTTCTGGCAAACATACCTCCTCTACCCTAGTGTTCAACAGATTTTGGTCAACTTTCAGAAGTGGCTGGGCCAGATATTTAAATGCCAACTTTAGGCAAATCATCCATCAGATCCTAAAAGTTCTGCAGCATGCTGAATTCAGACAAATCATACAGTAATTCTGAAAATAATTTAACAGTAAGAACTAAGAAATAAAGGTTTTTAAAATTATACTATTCTCAAAGCTCCTAGTAAACTTCATAGACTTGAAGACTTACGCTTGCTTCAATTCAGAAGTGCCAAAACAGAGGATTAGTGTTAAATTTGAACCAAGAGATTTCTGCTGTTTTCAACTCAAACCCTTTCCCTTTCTACCCACTTTCCTTTAACCTGGTTTAACCCTGTTCATCATATTCCTTCTTCACTTCTCCTCACTACCAAGCTTATTTTTGATCACTGCTTGAAAAATAAAGAGAGCCAATGGAACAAGAGAATGTACCAGCTGTCAAGGCAAACCAAGGCAGATTCCAGTAGCTAAGAGATTTAATTAAGAAAAAAGCCCAACAGGGAAAATGTGAGGCAAATATCTGGAACACTGCTGAGAAGCAGTCCTAGCTCCCTAACTTGAAACTCACAGCGGCCTTTTTCGGGGGAGGTGGGGAGACAGCAATTCCATGGTCTACACTCAGCCTCCTGTTGTTCAAGGTCCTCCTCCCCTCACACTAACAGGTTAGTCAACACCCCAGTAAGTGAAAAAGGTGCAGACACTCATCTTTTTCATTTCTGGTCTCCTTCTCCCAGTTTTTCTCATTTTATCCACTTGTTAAAAGTGAGCTTTCCCACCTGCTTAAAGATTAACTTGTCCAGATTGGAAGTGGTAATTCTTGAGTCCTCAGGGTCAGGTTACTTAGGTTTGAATCCTACCTCTGCCACTCAACAGCTGGGTCACCTTGGAGGGCTTTCGGTTTCTCTTTGCCTCTTTCCTAACCTGCAAACAGCAGACAATAGCATCTCACAGGTGTTACTGTGAAATTATACATGTGAGGCAATTATCATATTGCCTAGCAGCCCAGAGAAGTACCCAATAATTTATCTTTTGTCACCTTAGGGCTAAATTCTTCCTGCACACTGAAAAGTTAGCCCAAGTTCAAGGAAAAATTAAAGAGGAAATATTATTTATACAAATGTATTCTGTAAGGACAGAGAAAATAAAATGGGCCTATAGTGCACAAGGCTTCTTTTCTCATGCAGCTTTGTCAAGGATAAATTATTCAGGGTAAAAATAAATATTAAGAAAAATGATGCATTTGGCTCCCAGCTCTTCCTGGTAACCCTAAGGACAGAGGTTTTGTTTCCCCAGTATTGTTGTTTTTTTTTTTCCCCAGCATTGTTTTTAAAGACCCAAGTTAACAAGGAGAAATTTCAAAATGGCCCGTTATTTTTAATACAGAGACTGATGTGAGTTGTTCATTTACCCTTCTTTTTTTTTTTTTCTTTTTTTGGTACTGGGGATCGAACTCAGGTCCTTGCGCTTGCAAGGCAGGCGGTGGAACCACTGAGCTAAATCCCTGGCCCTCATTTACCCTTCTACATGCTGCTTCCACAATGCCTCAGGAAATTTTCCATATATCTAAAAAATCTAAAAAGTCAGGTTGTTCTTGCTACACATTCACTCAGGAGATGAGAGCGGTCCTATTTTTTCTTTGGGTTCGGCTTTTAAAATTAAATTTATCAGTCTAGTCCAAGATCAATTTCATCCCTCATCCAATAAAGTACTGCACTTTATCTCTCCAAGACACCCTTGAAAAGAGTAATAACAGATGGTGCCTTCCACTGAAGGGAGACACAGAATCTGAGGCTCTCCTTACTATTCTGCTTCCAACACATCCTTTGCACAGAGTGAAAACCTGTACCCTAACACCACTTCATACCTGGAGAGTTTATTTTGACCTTTTGTTCACATCTTTGACTCTGTTCAAATCTTCCTGGACAACAGATCATGATTTTAACATGAATCACAGCTAAAGACATAAAACTGATTCTAAGTTTTACTCCATTTTTTAGTCTTCAAATATGGAAACTGATGTCTAATTAGAAAGGTGGAAAATCTGTTATATTTATCAAACATAACTGAAAAACGCAACATTTAAGGAGAAAGCAGTTCATACCTTTTAATGCATTTTTGTATAAGGAATGCTGTATTACATAGTAAAGAAAAAAAAAAACCCTAAAAACTAAAGTTCATTTATATCATATATCCTTTGGTTAAACAAGCATTCCTATAGATTACTAATGAACAGCAGACAATCAAAAAATACAATTTATGTTTTCATCCTAATGAAAACCAGAAGACAATTCCAGTTATTTCTGGGGGAATGTTCAAGAAAAAATAACTTTAAGGGGGGAAAGTATAAGTAATATATTATCACTTAAAACCTTACATTAGATCTTTAGGATCAGCCTAAAACATTACATTTAAGAGCAGAAACATATTTACTGTCATATTAAATTACACGTTTCCTTGAACTACATGTTTTTTCCTTAAAACCCAGGTACAAAATAAAATTGGTAATATAAATATCTACTTTAAAAGTTCCTACAAAGTAGTAACAGAAACTTCGGTTTTATAACATTTTACAAAACGTATTAGCAAAGTGTTATGAAACTCAAGCGTCCCACCCCCTGCCCTTACAAGGAGGGGTACATGCTAAGAAACTGAGGCAAATTTTCAAACAGAAAAGGAAAAGTATAAAAAGGACACAAGGGAAAATAGCTAAAAGCAAAAAAATTCAGTAATACCCTAAAAGCAATAAAAATTCTAATCTACTCTCGAAACTCTTACCCTTGACAGCACAGAACAGAATATCCTGCCTTATACATTTTGGACTTGCAATTCTGAAATGCTAAATCCAAACACAAAGCCGCCCAGGGGAAAATAACAATTGCGCAACAGATCAACAGCTCCAACTTGTCCCTTGGCCCCAGCGCGGCGAGGTTTGCACGCTATAAGCAGGAAAGGGCCAACTGAGGGCCGCCGTGACAGCCAACCGGCCGCTGTCACCGAGGCCAAGGCCACGCACGCGGCGTGCGCCACCGAGAGGCACAGTGCCTGGAACCCGAAGCTCCGGGCGCGGCCGACTCGGACCTCGAAGTCCTAAGCCTCTTTCGCATCCCCACCGCGGAGCGAGGGGCCGACGCGGGGAGCGCGCGGGGCTCGGCCGGCCGCCGCACGTCGGGGCTCTGGAGCGCACAGGGCACTCGGTGACTTTCTCTCCTGCCCCCGGAGCGCTGAGTCTCCTCGATCAGTGCCGCCGGAGCGTGATCCGAGGGATTCACCGGTCTCCGCAAAGCGCGCCCCTCGACGGCCGGCGGGGCCAGCGCACCACCCCGCAGCCTGCGCCGGCGGAGGTCGTGGGACCAAGGGCGCAGAGCAGGGGCTCGGAGCGCAGGGGACCTCAACTCCCCCGAGAGCGCCCCCGTGACTAGGCACATTTTTGCCAGCTCCGAGTCTGGGGTGCCGCGCAGCCCCGGAAAGGGCCGGCCCGCGCCGGCTCAGACAGCCGCTCCCCGCCCCACGCGCGGCGCCGCGCCGAGCCCTCCCCGCATCCCCGCTGGGACGCACTCGGGGGCCGCGCACTCGCCGACGGTCGGGCCCGCGCCGTGCCGAGTCCCCGGCGCTCCCCGATCTCAGCCTGGGGCAAGCGCGGCGGCCTCAGGGCCCGCCCGCCCGCCACAGCCCTGCTCCGGCTGTCCCTGGCGGGCCGCGGCCCCTCACAGCTCTGTCCGCGTCCTGGCCCACCGCGGGGCCCTCGGGCCGGCCAGCACCTGCTGGGACGGCAGTCCCGGCGGCGACAGCTCCAAGTCCATCATGCTGAGCTGGTGGCTCCCCGACGGCGACCCTGCCCTGGCTGCCGTGGCGCGGGGCGCGCTGAGCGGGGCTGGGCCGGCGGCTCCTCCCGGTTCCCGGGCTCGAGCACTTCAGCTACCCGGGCCGACTCGCCGGCCAGCCCGGGCTGCCCCGCCCCTTCCCCGAGGGCGTGGTCGGGCCTGGGCCCCGCCTTCCCGGGTGGCCCGCGGCCCAGCTTCCAGAACCCCTTGCCGCCGCCGCCGCCGCCGCCGCGCCGGGCTGCCTGACGCGAGGACCCCGTGGTTTTGGGGTGCGGGCGCCGCGGGCTGGGGTCCTGGGGGCGGGCGGGGCCCCGAGAGCAGACCCTTGGCTCCCGGTCCTCGCGCGCGGTTCGCCGTCCTCCGCCCACAAGGGCGAGATTAGGAGTTGTTTGCCGAAGGTCGCTCGGCCGGGCGCTTTGCAGCAGTCTAAACAGTTGGACCAAACACGCCCGCCGAGCCAGCGGAGGCGCGGTTTCGGGAGCTGCGCCTCCAGATTTGGGGCTGTAGAGCCGTGGCCGCTCTGTCGCGCCCCTCTGGCCCAGAGTGGCGCCAGACCGGGGGGGGGGGGGCGGCCGGGCGGAGGCCCGGGACCGAGGCGGCGAGCGCCACCAGCTGCCCTCTGGCCCTCGGTCCCCTCCGGAGTTGGAGCCAGAGGGCGCCGCCGGGGCACCGGGCTATGCCGGGAGCTCGTGCTCGCCGTCACCCGGAACGCGCTCCAGCCCCTGCGCCAGCCGGCGGCGGGCGACCTTCCCGGGCCATAGTCCTCGTGACATGAAGGTTCCCATGTTCACGTACTCGAGATACGGTAGAAAAGAACAGGTTACAAAGTGGTTTGTATAGTATGGGCCCGCTTTGTAAAGACGTCGAGGAAAAAAAAACACCCCAGTGTCATCTGATGTATGAATAGTTATAAAATGGTGAATGATTTTTCTTTTTGTTGCTTTATGTTTTAAACCTACAGTGAATATTTCATCTTTTAGAACATTGTTTACAAATCATTTCTCCCAGTTGCTGGGGCGGGGGTGTGGAGTGGTGAAGAATGGGAGGTGGGAAAACATACAAATAAAAAAATCATTGCCCACAGACAACTTCAAGTATTTGAAAGCAGGAATATTTTGAACTCTTACAAATATTTTTAAAAGAATAGATACATGTTTTTTTAATGGATTAACAATTTCTCTAACTTTAACAAACCTAAGGTGCATTTTCAAACTTCTTCAAATTTATTCAAAACCAGGTGAGGAAGATATCCCCCAGGCAGTGGCTTTACTCTTTCATTCAAAAACCAGAGGGGGAAGGGTGCCTGGCCAGAGCAGATTACCCCTCCCCCCAACACACAAGAGAAAACTGCCAGGAATTTATTTTCTCTTTGTTGCATAATTTGACACTCCTGGGATTTACATGTAAATTTATATGTTCAAGTATTCTTTGAGATAAGTAAAGCCTAAATCACTTGTAATCGAAGCAAGCTTATTCAACTTGCATTAAACCTTTTCATCTGTTCAGGGAGACCTGCAGAATGATTTGCACACTGAAAACAAGACTGGGACAAATTTATAAGGACCCTAACACCAAAGAGGCAGAGAGACCTATGAAATGACATATCCCTGTCAAAGGAAACAGGAATTTAATGTTAGCAATTCAGGTTACGTATTAAAAGTATTAGTTTAGAGTAGGTAGACAATGATCCCAAAGTCCTTCCTGAACAGCACAGTTAATGCCCCGAAGGAGTTTGTAAGCCATTTGGTATTTCCTTGTTAAGCAACAGTTTCTAGAGGGTTTAAATTGAATGAAATAACCATTACTTTTACAAAACTACAATTTTCTAGGAGTAATATTATTTCAGACACCGCGGAGTGCACATTTCCGGAGGGAGGAGAGCAATATGATGAGAGTTTGAACGTGTTAAAAATAAGCACTAAAGAAAAGCTGTTTGGCCATGAATGGTGGTTCTGGACAAGAAAAGAGGACACCTGCCTCAGACCACCCGTGTCAAGGAAACTTTGCACCCCCGGAAGTGGGACTGGCTTTCAGTAAGAGCCCACACCCTCTACACTTGCACATCGTGTTATGGGGGTGCGGGTACTGTATGTTATGAAGTGGCAGAGGAGTGGTAAATAGATGCTGTTTTTCCGTCCTCTTTTAGTGCCAGGGGAGCCCATTTACTGCCAAGCTCTCTTAGCTATTATCCGCTTCCCCCGCCCCCGTCCTGTTGGTTTCACATTCTACTGACCCTTGCGGATTTTCATTGATGTTTGCAGTCTTTGCTCTCTTTAATAAGACAGCATGGCCAGGCGTGGTGGTGCACGCCTGTGATCCCAGCACTTCGGAGGCAGAGGCAGGAGGATTGCCTCGAGTTTGAGCAGTATACTGGGCTACATAGTGAGTTCAGGGCCAGCCTGACTACAAAGTAAGACCCTGTCTAAAAAAACCCACAACAATTAAAAAACTAATAATAAAAAGACAGCATATTATGTGCTTGAGGTGTGTTAAAATTCTGATACTTGTCTCCAGTGTTTCACAAAAACAGGCATCCACCAGGAAGGCCTATGAGTGCACAAAATTTAGGGAAATGCATTGATTCATTGTTCCACCTTTTCTTGCACTAATCTGTCAAGCTGCAAGACCTAAGAAAGTACCGACTATTTCAACATCCTCCATCTCCAAGGCTTCTTCCTCTTACTATCACTTCCTCTCAGTTATACTCCATGCTGGAGCTAGAAAATATTCATACTCTTTTGGAATTTGTCCAGCATATGAGGGAGCAAGTTTCCAAAGATAAACCACCCTTCAGATCCTGAAGCCCATGTGTAGTCCCCTCATGTTGAGCCAAGGCTGGCCCTGAGATTTGTTTAACTCACAGAAGGAGGACAGAAATGCCACTGCGCCAGGTCTCAGCCTAAGCTTGAAAAAGTCCTGGCTTTCAGTCACATAATCTCAGAAGTCAGTTATCATGTTAGAAGTCTGACTACCTTGGTGGAAAGAGAAGCCATATTCGAAGAAATGAGAGAGGGGCTGTGTGAACCCGGGCACCAGACATGTGAATGATGAGACCATCTTGGATGGTCAAGCCCCAGAAGACTTCAGCCCCAGAAGACTTCAGTCCCAGCTGCCATCAGCCTGCCACCATGTAAGAGACAAACAAGACAGTCTAAAACTGCCTAGCAGAGCTCAGCTACCCAAAGAACTGTGAGAGATTATGACTAATAAAAATTATGTTTATAATTTAGGGGTGATTTATTTCACAGCAGTAGATAACCAAAATATCATTGATTGAATAGCAAAAGTGGGGTGTCTCCTGACTGCTTTTTGTTAACCTCCACTGGGAGCACATATAAGGACAGTACTTTGTGATTTAATAGTCTCAGACCCTCTGAGTCAATTCTTTTTTTAGACGAGATCTGGCGTGTTTAGGGTGGTGTGGCCATAGACAATTCTTTTTTCAAAGGGAGGGGAGCAAATATAAGATATGAGGAAGTATTTTTCCCATAATATATATAGTACTTCTTTCTACATAAAATGTAAATGATGTCCTTACACCTTGCATCAGTTTTATACCATTAGATAAATTATGGTGAGATATTTTCCTAATTAAAAGAACCTAAGAGACACAGACATTTCATCAGTTGAGTAGATGGTAGTATAAATGCATACTGAGGTTCTGACCCTGACTTGACCTCATTTGTAACAGTTATATAAGAGGCTTGCTGAATAGCCGCAGAAGGAATTCAAACTTAAACAGCAGCCTGCCCAGTGGATAAACAACTCCAGTACAACAGTGTTCAAAATATTTTGTGTGTTAAGTTCGAAACATACCCATAACCTTGGTTTCCTGATCTGCATACCTTGCTATGCAAACTAGGGGTACAGAGAGCTGGGTAGATGTACAAAGCCAGCTTTAGCTCATAGAAGTTTCCTGTTCATGACCGACACAGTGCCCTGAAGGAACAGTAGTGCAGAGAGTAAAGAAACAGGTTTGGAAGAGTTCTTTTGTATTATATGTATTGATATCAATAAAAATATATATGCATAGGAAAATGCTAAATGTATAGACTCCAAAAGTTAACTATTATTAATTATTTGGAGACTGGTGATTTTGTTTTTCTCACTTTTGCCTGTCTGTATTTTATAAATAAACATACATTACTTTTGGAAGGAGGAGCAGGAAGAGGAGGAAAAGAAAAGGAGGAGGAAAAAGTTGGGGTGAAGTGTGAGATGAGGGGAGCACTTACTTTTTTCCCAAGCCTCTGGGTTGATTTTATTTTCAAACTGAATTTGAACCACAAATTGTTGGGGTTTTTTGGTACCGGGGATCGAACTCAGGTCCTTGCGCTTATGCAGCAGGCAGCAAAACCACTGAGCTAAATCCCCAGCCCTGAACCACAAGTTTTGCAAATCTTCCCATCTGTATTTACTTGAGTGGAGCCTGGAGAATTCTACCACATCTTTAACCGTGGTTGTGGGAAGGGTCTAAAGATCCTTTTCTCTTTCAATTTGTTGCTTTATTTGCAAAGATTCACTCAGCAGAATAGGAGTTTGCAGACAAAGATGGAATTTTATGAACTGAGACTAAGAACTACAGCTTTGGAGGATATGCAAAGTTGCCCATATATGTATAACACTGCTGGGCAGGAAAAATAAACAAAATACAGAAAAACACTTAGGCCTAGAACTATGTCTGCGAGGCTGATTTGTAATATTAATTATAGGGGTAGGATATCAAATACTTTCACTTCATCTTTGTATTTTTCTGTGTTGTTCAAATCCTTATAGAAACTTTAGAATTATGGGGAAAATAAACTTTTTTTTTTTTTTTTTTGGTACCGGGGATGGAACTCGGGACCTTGGGCTTGTGAGGCAGGCGCCGGAACCACTGAGCTAAATCCCCCACCCTAAACTTTTTATTAGACAAGCAGGATGCAATGAATGGAAGAGAAGAACCCTTCTCTTCAAGGCCTTGAAGAGGGCTTTGCAGATGAAGTATGTAACATCCTAGGAGGGTGGAAAGTGAAAAGGGGAAGTCAGGTTTGCTAAGGTATTTGTCTTCTGGAATTTTTAAATTTTTTATTACATGGACTCTCACTTTGCCCTTGGAGTAATATTAGAAGCAAAAGAAACCTTAACCATTGTCTGGCCCAGAGATTCGGGAAGTAATTGTCCCTTTGATTATCAACTCTGATCTATACATAGTGGCTGTCTACATTGCTTTGCTGGGGAGTATACAAAGTCAGCTTCCCAGTTTGATAGAAAAAGTTCAGCGGCGCCTGCCTCCCAAGCTCAAGGTCCCGAGTTCGATCCCTGGTACCAAAAAAAAAAAAAGAAAAAGTTCAGTGGTTGATGAACAATGACTGCCACAGGCACAGAATTACCTAGACTGGGGAAACTCACCAGATAGTTTCCTCCTGATCTAGTTCAATCTTCTATTTTTACATTTGAAGGAACCAAGGGGTCAATTGGTTACCAGTGATCACAGAGCTGGCTATTAATAGGGCCAGAAATAGAGTAACATTTCCTGACTCCTGGTATTATGTTCTTCCCACACAACAACATGAGTTCCACTTTTGAGGTCAAAATCTTGTCCTGACCTCTAAAGGGTCAGGTATAAATTTTATTTACATATTATCACAATATTTTTGGAAGGGGATTAATAAGCCAGTTTATTAATGATAATTATTGTATATTTTATAGATATTTCATACAAATCAAAGATACATGATTGTACTTAATGTTATAAATTAGAAAGTTTAAGACCAGGCATGGTGGCACATGCCTATAGTCCCACCATTCTCGAGGCTGAGGCAGGAGGATTGCCATGAATTTGAGTCTAGCCTGTGTTACATAGTGAGTTTGAGACCAGCCTGAACTACATAGCAAAGCTCTGTCTTAAAAAACCAAAAAAAAAAAAAAAATAGAAAAGAAAGTTCAAGAAAAGTACTACTTGAAAATGGCTTGAGCCAGGGATTTAGCTCAGTGGTTCCGCCGCCTGCCTCCCAAGCTCCCAAGCGCAAGGTCCCAAGTTCAATCTCTGCCCCTCCTCCCAAAAAAGGAAAGAAAATGGCTGGTTTTAAAGCCCAGGCTTAGTCCACACCAGGTCAGGTCTCTGTAGAATCTCTTAGTTTGTGGAGTCTCTTGGCTTGTGTTGTATTTACTGAGACTACTTATGACAGAACTCCCTCAAGATGACATTTTTCCACTTTCTATTTAATTAATTCCCTAAGGACAGAAAAGTACTTTTCACTAGAGGGAAAACTTGCAAACAAATATGACCACAGGACTTCTACATTAAGAACTGAAAAGGGAAAGGCAGGGAGAAAGTGATTTTTTTCTTGCAACTTTAGCCTCTTCACTTACTGGCAGAGTTTATATTTTTCTCTTTTAATAAAAGGTCTAGAGCAGGGTAAAAAATATACTGATGAGACTATAAGCTATTGCAACCCTTGTATTGCTTCCAATAAATTAAATTCCTTTAGTTGTAGGCTTCCAAAAAGCCTAAACTGCAGGTAAACTTTAATGGTCTAGATCTAGCCCTCCTTTCTGGTAAGATTCAGGTAACTGTTCATTACATTTTTTTCTCATAATCAAATATGGAATATTTCAGTCTCAGGCTCAAAAACTAAAAAATTTTATGTTGGCAGACTTACTAATTCACTTCCCTTTTTTTTTGCTTGCTAACATTTATTGTGTGTGTACTGTGTATCCTAACCATAATTTTTAGATCCTTTATTTTTCTGTAATACATATGAGGGCTATGAATACCAACAACAACCTGAAACAAAAACAACAAATATTTATTGATTGCTAGGGATCCTGTACTTTATATGAATTGCTTCATTTAATTCCCTCAGAAACCCAAAGGCATATTATTACCCCCACTTTAGAAATGAAACTGAGAGCTGAAGAGGCTAGATAATTTTTTTTTGGTACCAAGGGATCGAACTTGGGAGCTTTCGAGGCAGGCAGTGGAACCACTGAGTTAAATCCCCAGCCCCAGGCTAGATAATTCTATCTATGGTGAAACAGTAAGTCGCTGAGTAAGCCACTAACTTTAAAGTTCTTAACCATAAACATAAGCTATGTCCCATGGTGTTTTAAACAATCACAAAGGTTAGATTTGAGTAGAAATGATTAGCAATGTTTGACCAAAAATCATCCGAGCAATTTATTGTTCATTTAAAAAACAACAGTTGAATACTTGGTGAAGATCACCACGCTTGGGGTTTGAGGGAAGACAAAGTTGAGTTAAATATGGGTTCTGCTTTTAAGTCCTTATAGTGCAGTAATAAAACATCACTGTTGCCTAGAGCGAGCAAGTACTGAAGAAGCAGGACATTGACCAATTCAGTCTAATGGCAGGAGACCAGGCTTTTCTCTTTTCATTTCATGCAAAGTCAACACAATTTTTTATTTTGTGTGGGGGGGGCGGGAGGGGGTTTAGGGATAAAACCCAGGGCCTCATACATTCTAGGCAAACTATTTTCTTTAAGGAAAATCCCCCAGCTTTATTGAGGTATAAGTGACCATAAATGAGACACATTTAAAGTATACAATTTGATAAGCTCATCACCACAAGATAATGAACATATTCACCACTCCCAGAAGTTTATTTCTGTCTCAATTTTAATGCTGCTGCTTCCACCTCACTTTCCATCCTTTGGCAACGACCGATCTACTTGCTGTAACTATGGATTAGTTTGCATATTCTAGAATACGATAAATGGAATCATATAGTACACAGTTTTTAAAAGTCTGGCTTCAGCATAATTGAGATTCATCTACATTGTTGCATGTATCTATAACTAATTCCTTCTCATAGTTAAGTAGTACTCCATTGTGTGACTATATCAGAATTTGTTTATTCATTCACATGTCATTAGACATTGGGTTCTTTCTATTTTTAGCTATTACAAACAAAGCTTTTGGGGGCCGGGGATTTAGCTCAGTGGTTCCGCTGCCTGCTTCGCAAGCACAAGGACCCGAGTTCGATCCCCGGTACCAAAAACCCCCCAAAAAACAAAAAAAAATAAAGCTTTTAAGCATTCATGTACAACTCTTTATTATATTCCCATCAACAATCTTTTGAGTTCAGGTTCCTCCCCAACCTTGTAAAGGGCAGTCATTTCAAATATAGTTAAAATATAAATATATAGATAGAGTTTTAATTTGCCTTTTAATGACTAAAGATACTGACTTTCTTTTCATTGCATGATAGTTTTAATGTATAATGTAACATTTTCTATAGGAGGATATATATTCTATATATATTTTTTTCTTTTTGGTACCAGGGATCGAACTTGGGTCCTTGTGCTTGCGAGGCAGGCGGTAGAACCACTGAACTAAATCCCTGGCCCTATATTCTATATTGAGAGGAGGGCTTATAGCCCTATAATAAGCTTGATTGTTAGCAACTTGCCTTGTAGATAATAAAAGAAGAGTTATGGTAAGAAAATATCATTAACTATTGATAAGAGGACATAAAAATTTCAGAAAGTATGAAATCCACACCTTATTTTTTTAAGAGTTTTTTTGTTTGTTTGTTTGAGACAAGGTCTTGCTGGCCTTGATCTCACTATGTAGCCAAGGCTGGCCTCAAACTCTCAGTGATCCTTCTGCCTCAGCCTTCTGAGTGGTGGGCTTATAGAGCACCCGCCACTAAATATTGCACCTTAATGAAAATTTGAGTTTTTAAAAACCAACACCACAAAATACTAAGCTTATATTTTCAAGTGGTGCCTCAGAATTTCTTCCGCAGCTGAGGGTGTAGATGAGTGGTAGTGGGTATGGTTAACATTAGTGAAGTCTTGGGTTCAATCCTCAGCATTAAAAAAAAAAATTCCCCTTACTACAATGTGTTGCTAGGCCTGCTCTGTTTTCTCAGCTGTACCAACAAGCAACAACTATTACCTGTTTCTTTTTCCTTTTTTTTTTAGTATGGGAGATTGAACTCAGGACCTTGGACTTGCTAGGCAGGTGGGGT